ATCCTCCTGCCTCGGCCTCCTGAGTAGCTGGGACCAGGTGCCACCACCTCAGGCAGCTCATGATATACTGGAGTGAATGACAGTTCTCTCTCATCGGCTCAACACTAAATACGCCCTTTCGTCGCTCTCCCGGCCCACCCCGTGTGTCCAGCGTCTGCTCCGCCACCAGCCTCTGCCTGGTTCTTCGAGGCCTGGGGCTGCCGTGGGGCCTGGGGCATGGCTGGCACCGGCACTTGTTGAGTGAAGTCACAGATGGGCCCAGAGCCAGAGGGGTCAGCACCCCGCATCGTCAGGGGCTTGTTCTAAGCGACTGACGTCTGCTCTGGCTGACAGCCAAAGAGGAGGCTCCCAGGAAGCTCCCAAATGGAGAGGAGGAGATGCCCCGAAGCCCGTGGTGAAGACGGTCACCCTGGCCCTGCCTGGACGCTGCTCCCGCCTGTGACGCAGGATGTCCTTTCTGCCCACAGACTCACAGCTTTGCCTCATGGTGCTTGACAGTGTGGGGCCGGCAGGGCCTGGGCCACATGGCCACGCGTCACTGCCAGGAGCTGAGAGAGTAGGGGGCATGTCGGCTTCCGTGGGGGGCGGGGAGGGGCTCTGCCTCCCACCAAGGTCTTCATTTGTGTTTTTTTATTTTTTTGAGCCAGGGTCTCACTCTGTCGCCCAGGCTGGAGTGCAGTGGTGTGATCATAGCTCACTGCAACCTCAAACTCCTGGGCTTAAGCGATCCTCCTGCTTTAACCTCCCACGTAGCTGGGACTACAAGGCATGCACTACCACGCTTGGCTAATTTTTTTTTTTTTTAATTTTTTTGTAGCGATAGGGTCTCACTTTGTTGCCCAGGCTGGTCTCAAACTCCTGGCCTCAAGTGATCCTCCTGCCTTGGCCTCCCAAAGTGCTGGGATTACCAGTGTGAGCCACCACAACCGCCCACAACAGGGTCTTAAAGAGAATTCCCCAAAAGCAAGTTTTGTTGCTGGAAAGCCAAAAAGAATGATCAAATCCACTACAGACGCCAACCTTGCGGACTTTCTTTCACACCACACTCTCTCCTAAAAGAAAATATTCCACTCTCTCTCTGACTCATACCCAAAATATAAACAGACTCAAAAGGAAAAGAGCAAAGTGGGAAAAAAAAATCGTCAACGTGACAGAAGGCAAAAGTTCCTTAATATACAAAGAGCTGCTACGATTCAATAAAATGATGACTAATCTGATAGAAAAGTGGGCAAAGAGGACATAATAAGCGAGCCACAAAAAAAGACAAGTTGCCAGTAGCTACGTGGAGAAGCTCGACTTCATGAACAGATAAAGAAATGCAGATTAAAACAACGGCATTCCAGTTTCCCCTCCCCACAGAGGATCGTGAAAATAAAACACCATCTGCCCTTGACGGGGCCTCCACAGGCAGAGAGAGACACGAGGCCCATCTCGGTGGATGGCTCCGCACGCTACAGAGAACGCACTGGGGTCCCCTTTGCTTTTATAAAAACAGAAGCCCAGGTTTTTGTGCTAGAGGATGTTTACGCATACATCGTTTCTGCACAGACACAGACGCAGCTGTTTCAGAGGAGCTGGAATGTAGAGGTTTTTTTCGTTTTATACTCTTCTCCCTTCTATGTAACTGGACATTTTTTATTTTTAAATAAAGAATATATATTTCTGGCTGGGGGCGGCAGCTCACGCCTGTAATCCTAGTACTCTGGGAGGCCGAGGCGGGAGGATCACTCGAGGTCAGGAGTTCGAGACCAGCCTGAGCAAGAGCGAGACCCCGTCTCTACTAAAAATAGAAAGAAATTACCTGGACAACTAAAAATATATAGAAAAAATTAGGTGGGCATGGTGGCGCATGCCTGTAGTCCCAGCTACTTGGGAGGCTGAGGCAGGAGGATCGCTTGAGCCCAGGAGTTGGAGGTTGCTGTGAGCTAGGCTGACGCCACGGCACTCACTCTAGCCCGGGCAACACAGCGAGACTCTGTCTCAAAAAAAAAAAAAAAAAAAAAAAAAGAGTATATATTTCTTCCGTAACTTAGAAAAAAAGGTGACAACATCCAGAAATCATAAAAGAAGAAATAAATGCAACTACTTATAAAGAAAAAACTAATGTATGGAGACACACAAAAAATAAAGATAACTACTTCTCTCTGGCTTAAACTAAGTGGATAAAATCCTAAATAACCTAACATGACTATAGCTTCCCTCTAAATTACAACAGTTCTATGGAACTGTTATAATTAGTATTAATTTTAATTCTTCCTTTTTAAGTTATTGCAATTAATATATATTTTTAACAAAGCAACTACAGGATAACCAGATTCAAAATAAACATCTGTCCGAATGGGTGCGGATCACGTGTTAAAATTCACAGGGCCCTACGCCTCTCCTCCAAAGCCAAGACGCCTGCTCTTAGACAAGGGACATGAGGAAGAAAAGATAAATAATTAACAACCGAACTTTTCAATGTCATAAACTATTGCATAATGATTTTAAAATCAAAAGGAAAAATCAAGCCTGGGAAAACTGAAATTCCTAATGTCCAGCAAACAAAAGTAAGCAAAATAAACAATAAATTGAGAAAAATTATTTGCAACTCCTATCAGAGCAGAGCTGATGCCCTATAGATGGGCAAATGATATCTAAGTGTAAGAAAAGGTCTTCACCCGCTCCTAACCAGAGGTGCAAATTAAAACCTTCCCAGAACTTTCCAGTTTCGGGATTTGCAAACGCTGGAGCGCGCCCTCGCCCCCTGGCGGCTGCCTCGGGCATTGCCGGCAACGCAATGGGGACCTGGGGACTCCCTCGGAGAACGCACGTGCGCTGGCCAGGAGCGCCACAGAGCCAGGCTGGCTAAACGCAGAGCGCAGCCGCCAGTGGGATCCTGCCCAGCTGCGAAAGGGAACGAGGAGTCCGTGCGCACTTGGGATCGTTTTCTACGCTGGGTGACAAATCACCACCAACTAGGCAGCTTAAAACAACACGCGTTGATTATGTTTCCAAGTGTTCATCTTGGGAGTGGGCACGGCATGGCTGGGCTCCATCGGGGGCGCAAGTGGCTGGAATAAGGCTGGCACCTGGGGCAGTCTCTCGTGAGGCTCGAGGTCCTTGCCGGCTTCCTTGCGTGCTGGGGCAGGGGCTGCTCTTGGCTCCAGTGGCCTGTAGGCCCTGGTGGCCCTCAGCGCCGGCAGAACGTGTCGCTGCCGCACACGAGACTCAGCTCGCCCGGTCTGCCCCGCACATCACAGCCGAGCGAGCTCTTCACTGTGCCCACGCACCCTAGAATCCTGGCACCATGAGCTGGGTGCCCAGAGAGTAAGTGAAAACCAAGGGCCCGTAGCTCCAGGTGGAGTCCTGCTGCTTCGGAGCTGACCGGCCCACACCCCCACCCTGGCTTAAGAGTTTGCTCTAATCTCACTTCTTCGCCAGCCATAGGCCCTGGCCCCACCAGGGGACACAGAGGCTGCAAGTACACCTGCCCCCCAACCTCCAGCTGTCCCGCAGGTGCCTTCTGAGCTCGGGAGGGGTGTGGCCAGGGCGCAGCTCATGGTGGGCACGCCAGCAAAGTGGCCCAGCCCACCGCCACTCCTTGCACAGACTGGCATTGTTTAGATGAAGTCTGGGCCAGTACTGGTTGAAGAAAAATAACCTACTGCTAAGAACACTGCTGGACCGCAGGACCCCAGACACTGAAGGGGACTTTCACTCCCTGCCCCCTCGTCAGGGATGTCAGCAAATTAAGCCAATCTGGGGAGAACACAGGTTAGGGGCACAAGCTTGGGTCCTCAGTACACAGCCCCCGACGCTTCCTTATTCAAGACACGGAGGATGTACCTGCCTCACAAGACTAGTGCACCCTGCCCCAGGTCCCAGGTCCCAGCCTGGCTCCACCTTCCCCATGGCTGTGGGCACCCAGGCGGCCTGCTGACGGGGAAGGGGCCCTCTGTGGCTGTCACATCTGAGCACTTTTGCTACCCAAAAATATTGACGGCAGCCTGCACGATGAGAACCAGCATTCCTCTCTCCTGAACCCACTTCCCTGCACACCGGTTTCAGGCACCACACCTGGAAAGCCCCGTATCTCAGTGCAGAGTGGCCGGTGGCCGCAAGAACAGGGTGCTGGAAGCCTTGCCCCAGAGCCTGTCGTCTGCCGCTACCCGCATCCCCACCTGCAGGGACCTGTGGTCTACAGGAGGGCACTGAGCCCTGGACCCTGACGCGCCTACTCTGCAGGGAGAGCTCCCAGGACCTCTGCGATGCTGCTCTTTGGAAACACAAGCCAGGCTCCTAGGCAGAGAACCTTTCTGAGTCTTAGGGGGGAAACAGTAGGCAACAGCCAACTCCCACCCCGAACTGGGATCTGCTTCCAAACAAGCCAGGTCCCAAGCGTCATTGCTGCTCCTGTGCCGGAGCCAGCCCGTTAAGTCCATGCATACACGTATCTGTACCCGCCAAGGACGGAGCATCCGGGGAAGAAACTGCTAAGCCTCAGACCCCAAGGCTGCTTCTCTGGGTTCTCGGCCACAGCTACCAAGGGCCCACAGACTACTGTGCCAGCAGGGCCAGGACAGGCTCAGCCCTCTGTGGGCAGTGACGACTCTCTGACACGCCCTCTCCCCCATGAAGCAGGACCAATGGCTTTGGTGTGCTCCAGGACAGCCAGTGGCTGGCCTGACACAGCACAGCAGACCCCAACAGGCCTGGTGTGAACTAAAGCGAAGCTACAGTGGTCACCAGGTGTGTCACGGGGACCCCTCAAAGTCCTGCTAAAAAAGTTGTTCATCTTACTCTGGTTAAAAAAAACAATCCCAAGAAGCCAGGCTTCGTAACCTCCCCACACGAAAGCCATTGTTAAGTCCATGACAATCACCTAACAGCACTAAACACAGAAAACACGGTGCAGCTCAGGTTTGGGGCTGCCATCCAAGAACAGCCCCCCACACCCCCGCTGGGAAGTCAAGGCCCCCAGGCCCCGCTGGACACACACCATGTGGAGACCCGGCTTCACTCCCGATTTATTAAAAGTCCCCAATAGGCTTCATTTTTTCTTTTCAACATCCTGTTCTGCGGCTTCCTTGGCTCTTTTCGCCCGTATGCCAAAGAGCCGGGCGTTGGCGCGGGCCATGCGCAGACTGGCAAATGCCTTGAAGTTCTTCTCCTCCTCAGTGATGACTCTGGCCTTCTCCTTCTTGTAGACCTGGACGGGAGGAACAGGGTCAAACCCACATCTGCACCAGTGAACTGTGGCGGCGAAGCCCACAGCGTGCCAGCAAAACCTGGAGGACGTCACGGTGGGTCTGGCAATGCTGCCTAAGCGCCGCTGAAAAACTACTGAGGCTGCTGAGAAAACAGACAACCACCCTCCCTAGGTTTTAAATTTAAAAAATAGAACTCTCCACTTATTGGTGGATTCCTGGGTGCCAAGAATTAAAAATATATAATCCCGGCTGGGCGCGGTGGCTCAC